AAACTATACAATGGATGTCTCAGTAGTGAGTAAACTATACAATGGATGTCTCAGTAGTGAGTAAACTATACAATGGATGCCTCAATAGTGAGTAAACTATACAATGGATGCCTCAATAGTGAGTCAACGATACAATGGATGTCTCAGTAGTGAGTCAACTATACAATGGATGCCTCAATAGTGAGTAAACTATACAACTGATGCCTCAGTAGTGAGTAAACTATACAATGGATGCCTCAATAGTGAGTAAACTATACAATGGATGTCTCAGTAGTGAGTAAACTATACAATGGATGTCTCAGTAGTGAGTAAACTATACAATGGATTCCTCATTAGTGAGTCAACTATACAATGGATGCCTCAATAGTGAGTCAACTATACAATGGATTCCTCAATAGTGAGTCAACTATACAATGGATTCCTCAATAGTGAGTCAACTATACAATGGATGCCTCAATAGTGAGTAAACTATACAATGGATGTCTCAGTAGTGAGTAAACTAATACAATGGATGTCTCAGTAGTGAGTAAACTATACAATGGATGTCTCAGTAGTGAGTCAACTATACAATGGATGTCTCAGTAGTGAGTCAACTATACAATGGATGTCTCAGTAGTGAGTCAACTATACAATGGATGTCTCAGTAGTGAGTAACGTCTAGAAAATCGAAGTTTACTTGAGTTGAGGAGTCGAGTAAGACTGTAATATGACCAAAACAAGAATTTTATAAAATCGTATAGTTTTTAAAAGGAGACATTTTTCATCCATAAGAATAGGTGTAGAAATACAAAACAAAAAAACTATACATTTATTCTCTGTTTATTATTCATACGGTTCATCATGGACTAGTCTCAGAAAATTTCTTTCCAAAAAATAATTATGAGAGCCATTACTTTATTCTTTCAGTTTTTTAATGAAATCGTTTTCTAAATTTGGTGATAGAAGAAAGACAGTCTTATTAATACTATTAGCTCATTTTTAGCGTTAATCGTAATAATAATAATAAGCTAGCTCTCGACCACCCAGGAACCCCACTGACTCAGATTTTACACCCACTTTCTGAAAAGCGAGCTAGTTCTGCCAAACTGAAATGCAACGCTCTCTCGTCCATGATCTAAATAAATAAGCTGACTTAAGATTCTTTTAATTCTGCGCTAGCAACGCTCTCTCGTCTTCTTTCACCTAGCGGTTTCTTGTGTAGTGTCCGCCTTATTTGGAGAATGCCTCCTCCCCAAACTACCACCCAGATCCCGAAGGGCGGGGCGTAATCTAGTGTGTGGGGTAAGGAGACCATATTTTTGGGTTACCTGTACGGCATAGAAAATTCAATAACAGTGTAAAAGTTAGTGCTGTATATTTTCGACTCGACCTCACCCCGACTTCAGGTGGCTTCACGGGTGTCCTTACGGCGTGTTTCTATTGTGTTTCACCCTAGGTTGATTGGGTAGCTGACTGAGTTTAGTCCTGTCGCTGTCTTCCATTAGGCTAGGTACAGATTATCGGCGTACCAAGAAGCCAAAAGTTCAAGTGATCAGTTATTGTAACTTTGTAATTACGTGTCATGTGGTCAGTGACCTCGGGCTGGTCACCTCTTTATCTCTAGTGGATTGTATAGAGTGTTAGTTGACAGCGAAGAAGAACCTTACAACAATGGGAACACGACGGTAGTTATAAACGTTGTTCCTTATGTATTATTTCTCACTCTCTTGTTTTTGTTTACATTAGATGTTTAGCCTTAGGGCCATTTCGTTGGCTTTTGCTGCCAACAGACGGGTTTAAATGAAAATGTTATTATTATAATTACTAACAGTAATCTCACAAATATTCTAATTATACCGATAATTATTATTTGTTGGTTACTGAAAAGTGATCAATTCTTTGAAAAAAAATCTGCTGGTTAACAATATATACAAATATTCTGATAAACTTTGAACGTAACTGAGAAAGCAAATTTAACCATTAATTAATTAGAACAGTAAAGATGTGTGTGTAATGTAGTGTAAAACAAAAGTTATTTATCTCTGTTACAGTACAACCTAAACGCAGAATAGAAACATGATAAAAAAAACCTTCTAAATGACGCAACTGTAAAACTAGGCTAGCCTTTTGTGTAAATAACTGTCAGACCAATAGGCTACTGATTTTCTTTGACGTCATGGAGACATTATCATTATTAGGGTTTTTATTGTGTGTTTTTTCTTGTCAAGCTGAGTGCTTTAGGCAAAGTGTTATATCATAATTTGTTATTAATTAATATTAATTTCCCATCACAGAACCTATTACTTAGAGCAAAGCTAAAAATCACCTTGGCAATCAGTATGGCTAATTTAAAATACTTTTCTTATGTTTCTACTGATAAAGATTTGAATGCATTGTTTCATTAGTTGGGTACCGAGATTTATTAGACTGTTTTATAATATGTAAGAAGATTGTTTGTTGCTTATCTAATATTATTGCTATTAATTATACTTGCTATAAGACATCACGTTAGGCCTATTATATTTTTGGTACTACATTCCTAATCTAGTCCCTTAGAGATGTTCAGTAAGAAGAGTTTACGATAATAGTTTTTCAACCACACCATATTCGTCACATCCATTACGTTTCGCTCAATATAAAGCTCTTCAGGCCGGTTGGGATACGATGAACAATATAATGGCCGGAACACTATCTATATAGGCTATTTGTTACAACTATAATTGTTATAGATTGAACGGTTTTTACAAGCTAACGAAGCATGATTATAATTAATTATACTCATCATAAGACACCATGTTAGGCCTATATATTTTCAAAAATTAGAAGAATGAAAATTAATAATATTTCAACTACATTACATTGTACTTTTTAATACGTTTTTTCCCCCCTCAAAATGATTTTTTCTGCAACATAGTTATTGCTAATGTAACAATATTTCATAGGATCTAAACACTCGATGGAAACCTACATTTTATAATAACAAATGCAGATGGTATTCGATGTGCGATATTGTTAGCATTCCTCTATTTTTAAATTAACAGTGTTGAGTTGTACATGGTTAATAGTTACGCATTATTAACATAACATAACTTATTAACATAAGTTTCTCAAAACAATTATTATTATATAAATTAGGCCGTAAGCGTTTATTTGTTTTTCAGACAACTTCATTTTTTGATATATAAATCTGGAACATATCTCACCAATGATACTCCTATTTCCAAAATCAGCGTTTTCGGTTTGATAATACTTGAATAACAAAAATACATAAAACATTCTGTAAAAAATCGTACGTCAAAAACAAAAAAAAAGATCAAGATGAATATACAAATTCACTTTCTTTCATAAGTTCAATTTATAAGGATGATGAGAGAACATGTCTCTTTCATAAGTTCAACTTATAAGGATGGTGAGAGAACATGTCTCTTTCATAAGTTCAACTTATAAGGATGGTGAGAGAACATGTCTCTTTCATAAGTTCAACTTATAAGGATGTTGAGAGAACATGTCTCTTTCATAAGTTCAACTT